ACTTGTAGAGCAATTCCGCGAATTTAACTGTTCATTCCGCAAATTATTGCATGTTAATTAATATAATATTGTTGCATCGACATTGTTACGTCAGATTCTCCCGATAAAATACTATAAAATACATCAGTAAGTAAAAATTAATCGAGATGGATATTTAGCTTTTTTTTCGAGTTTCGCGTGAAGAATTCAGGAAATGACCGCATCGCGGTGGAGTACACAAATGAAATTCATGGCAATTGCCGTAAAAAACACGTTCGTGTCGGTGATAAGTTAAGGCAAGTGTGCGCGCGCGCGTATCTTCCGTAAGTAACAACGAGCTTTGCTCACGCGAAAACGTAAGTGATTCTGTGATTTATCATTATTAAAATATACATGTGTCTTTGTACTGTACGATATATTTTACGTAATGTTATCTTCCTGGTATCTGATGCTCACTCAAATTGATTACTGTCACGTTATAACAATCCGGCCGTAATTAACAATTGAGATTATATCGCAGCGCTTGCACGGCGGTTCGTAAGGCGGTTTCGTAGAAAAGAAGAAAAAAAGAACGAGCAAGTGCACAATTTTAATTGGCGAAATATATATTTTATATTTTCGTCTATCTACTTTTTTTAACTTTTAAACTTTTACGCCAATGCAAAAGTTTTGAAATATATTTTTAAAAGTCGTAACTTTTTACAAATTAACAGTTTTTTTTTTTAACAAACACACTGTTCAAACAAAACGTGCTCACGTCAGTAGTTATTTTGATATTATTCTATTATTAAAACTATTATTGCTAATAATTGTAATAGAATTAGGACCGTCTGTCGCTATTAATAGTAACAGTTGTAACGCGGCCACTTTCGCAAATTGGACGTTTAATTTACGACCCTCGAAACATCGATTTTTCAATTTTGCACGAGACATGAAGCCACCATGGTGGCCACCTATTTATAATCAGTCGAGCGGGAATAAGTGGCACTCGTTCTTGTTGCTTCAATTGTTCCTCCGTTGTTCTTCCCCTCCGATCTCGATGACCTGAAACATCCGGATAAATGGAGCAGAGTAAGTCTCGAGACTCGTCTCGTTCGGCTACCATGGGTTATCTCGCCGACATCTTTGGAATAGGGTCATGTTGATCGCTATACGTCCTCTGTACCATCCGGTAAACCATTACAGTGATCGCGTACGTGTGTTGCGTGCAAGACAGATCGAACTTTTAAAATAATATAAAAGACTTGGGCGCTCAGAGTCGCCTAATCAATCATTTTTGTCCCGATGACTCGTGATTACATCATCGTGATACATCAAATTTTCTTAACTGGAAAAAAGAAATAGAAAATAAGAAATTATAATCCTCTCAAAATTATATCTCTAAAATATATTTCCTAATATTTTATTTTAACTGAAATATGGATTTAGAAAATAAAATATGCAATCTGTGACTTATAAGAATCTTAATGTGACTTATAAGAAATGTATAAAAAATTATCTTTAGATATTTATTATTTTTATGGTATAAATAAATATAATTATCACTACTTAATTTTCTGCAGAATTTTTTTATTAAATTTTTCAAAATTTATATGAAAAACTTAATAAATATGAACGAGAAGAATTTGTATAAAAATTATCATAAGTATCGTGATCGCGAGAAATATGTTATGTATAATTTCAAGTTTACAAAATTGCGATGTTTTTTTCCTTTGACGATTATGATAAAATGCGGTATTATGCGATGTATATACTCGATCATGATCGGGAGAGACGCAAAGAGCATTGACTATCATAAGATGAAACTTGAATTTTGTATGTATCGCGTAGTCCTCGTAAACTTTGATCATCTAAAGTATGAGTGTTATCAAAGTAAACTGCGATGTTGCTCGGAAAGTCAATACATTATAATCGAACCACACCAATCGGGACATTATGCTTTTCCAAAGAAAATTGTTTCGCGTTGTTAATAAAAATTTTAATGAATATTTTTTACCTTAATTTGTGCTCATAAAATATGCATATTAATAACAAGTCATTTTTTAAATTGTAATTTTGATTGTTCTATCGAGAATGTCATATGTCACAAATAAAATTTGTTCGACCTTTTGCTATGGCGACAAATAATGCACAAAACGTTATATAAATAGGTAATAAATAGGTATCACTTCTTTTTACGCCGTTACATCGTATGACTTATGATAAAGATTAGAAATACAATGCGATGTAAACAGTTTATTTTTATCGTCTGATTTACATAGAATTGGCACTGTTTGTAAATTTTTATGTATAACGATATTTAAAGTAATGATAAACTTGTCATCTCAGCAATTTCTTATCGTACTGGGGTTACCGTGAGAAAAAAGGTCTGGCAGAATCGCCAGAAAGGCCAGTGATTTTTTGGCGGTCGAAGCTTACACTGCGTGAATCGATACGATTTATTTGACGTTATACAATTTATCGTAGAATTGACGTCAACAAGTGGAGACTATGGGATTATTTTCTCGCGCATGGCTGTTTTTTTAAGAAAATCAAACTGTAAGTTTATCGAATGATAAGCAAGTTACAATGTTCCTTATAATTTGAAATGAAAATAAGTCGAGTTAAATGTTAACTGAAATAACTGCGATTTATAAACTTGTAGAGATTAAGAAAAAAGTTATGTCGAGAAGTGTTTTTGTACAGTACATAAAGATAAATTAAGATATTTGTTTGAAAATTATAAAAATTATATAATATAATATATATAAAAATATATAATTTTAATCGAATAAGGAAAGTATAATTTTGCTGAAATATTTAAAAATTACAGACACAAATATGAAAGTAATTTTGTTTGATTATTAAAATAATTATATAAGAATCTAAGAATAATATTGCAAAATATTTTTATATTCTAACAGCCGAATTGAGCATTTTACATAATTATTTTAATGGTCCAATTTCATCATATCTCTATCTGATGAATTTTTAAATGACTTGAAAAAAAAATTAAATTTTTTTTCAAAAGAACAAAATTGTTCCTCTCGAAGAAAGAGGAAGAAATGAATATTATCTATCGAGAGAATTCTTGCACTATGTGTGTGTGTGTGTGTGTGTGTGTGTGTGTGTGTGTGTGTGTGTGTGTGTGTGTGTGTGTGTGTGTGTGTGTGTGTGTGTGTGAGAGAGAGAATATACGTAAACGCGCGTAAATAGAAAGTGACACGTGTAAAGAAACATATCTATGTGAATGGAAAATTATGTTACACGTTATACGTCAGATATATTGCATCATTGTTATTTTTCGTTCGTGTCGCTAATAAAAATTTGTTATATATTATAAATTTTATTCCCTGGCATAGCTCAATCTCTATTATTGCTGCAGATTATCTTGATTAGAATAACGTGCTATCACCGATATATATATTATTCTGCGTTATTTATCATTGAAGATTATTCGTGGAAAATGCAAGGATATAAGACCATAGGAGAGAACATGCTTTCACGTATGTATCCAACAAATATCGCTCGTCACTGTTATATATAATGAAAATAACGTTGACTACGTAAATGTCACATCCGCAATATTTAAAATTCATCCTTTGTTGTCTATGCCACATGCCTTTAATTAATCTCTCGCAGACTCCGTTAATCACATTTTTCCTACAATTTTTCCAGCTCCGTTGAAACGAAGAGCAAAATTGTTTCTCATTGTTTCTATATATTTATCATTTTTCAAATTTAATTTATTACACGAATGTTGTATGCGGAAAGGTCAGGTCAATAAATTAAGATTATTAATACCGCGACCGTGATGCGGCCTAGCAAAATGATCATTACTGCACTTGAGCGGAACTATTTGCGCTATTTGTCAGATCGGCGATCCGCAAAGGATATTCGCGTTAATTACCCCGCCCCTGTGGATGCTATCGAGTCTCGGTTTGCATGTCGAATTAATAGTTACATACGATGGTGTCTGATTGATTCAATTACTCTGTCATGTAAATACTATAATTTGCTGCGAACGAACCCTCACGTAATTTTACGCTCTAATCGTTCAACACAGTTGAAAAGGTTGGACGTATCTATGAAGAAGTTATTTTTCCTTATGAAGTTTCAAAGCGTGAATAAAATGTCTAAGTTTGATCGTCGGGAAAAAAATGATACATGAGATGTTCAGAGAGCACATCAATCGTAATGAAATTTATTCTTAATATCTAAAACTGAATTTACTTTGAATATTTTATATATAATTTTTATGGAAAAAATTTTGGATAATTATTTTATTCTATATATTGAAATGATTAAAATATTTATATATTTTATTAAAATTATTAATTTGAATAAAAAATAGAGAAAGTGTATGTGAGTACGTGAGAATACATATTCGAATTGAAATGTTTGCTTATAAATTTTAATAAATTTATTACATCATATTTTAGTTATTATATTAAAGAAGATTAGTAATAGTGTATATAAGAGCTTACGATCGAAGAGTGAGCAAGCGGCTCAGTGGTCTAGGGGTATGATTCTCGCTTTGGGTGCGAGAGGTCCCGGGTTCAAATCCCGGCTGAGCCCGATTTTTTTATTTTTTTAAATTGTAGATCTTTATTGGATATAATACTAGAAAAAAATTAAACGTAATTTTTTTAGAAAAAAATACAATTTTTTAATTTAACAATAATGGATATTTATTTGAGAGTGATTTAGGAATATTTGCTTTAAATGTGATAAATATATTTAAATCTCAGCTAAAATTTTATCTCTATCTTTTATATCTATCTTCTGTCCTTATCTGGATTTATAAATTTTACGGAATAGATTTAATCTACATTATAAATTCATACTCATAATAAAATTATTTTAATAATTCATTATTGTATTATTAGCTCTTTGATTATAAGTTGGTACAAGAATATGTTTACACTTAAAATTTCAGATGAGGTGTTCCACTCCGTTTAATGGGTGATCACTCATCCGTGCAATTTTCGCCAGGGAGCCTTTATTACAGTTACTGTAATTAGTCTCGCTTGTTGTTACAGAACCGGCAGCATGGCAGCCGAAGAGGGAATGCTAGGTGGTGGCCTGGGCGCGAAATTGAAATGCCCAACCCCCATATCGCGGTTGAGGGTGGAAAAGATCGAAGGTGGCCTGATGGTGGCCGGCGTAGTAATAGCGGCAAACTGTCAGATCGCCCTTCCGGCATTCGGCACTCTCTTCATGCTCGTCGGCGCCGTCCTCACTGGTTCGTATACATGTCATTCTGTTCATTTATAATTAAATAATTATCTATCTTCTTTAGCCACACAAGTGCGTTGTTATAAATATATAAACGTAAAAAGTGCGAGGTAAAAAATTGAATTTGTCGCAAAAGTTACAAAGAGCGTCTTTAGAATGTCACGAATATTGTTTTTTTTTTTAAGATATATTCTGTATCAAAGCAACGTCACTGATATCACGCTTCTTTACAGAACATAGTACATGGCTTTGTAGATTTTGTTACACAGTTTTTTTTCAAAATTACAGATCGCATATTCTCGAAATACGGTTAACGCGCAAATGCAATTTTTATCTCGCGCTTTTTACTCGCCAAGAGATACTCTTTTTATTAGACGAATAAAATTTGATACTAAATAGATATAAGCGATATGGACAATAAAAATGCAGTATAAATATCACGAATTCATCAGGAAACATTACAAGTGGTAGACAAGATAAATCCTATTTTTCTCTCAAATATTTTTGCAAGAGTTTCCGCTGCAGAAATTTTAACTGCGTCGCATAATTTTGCCGTTACAATTTCAGCTCGTATCAATTGCGACATCAAAAGCACATAGCGTGGACAATAATTAAATCAGGCGAACGGGTCCCTTGAATATTCACCGACTCCTTAATTTTTTCTTTTTTTTTTTCGCACCGTTATCTCGTAATGCGTTATTTTGCATTCGCATTTGCATCTTGTGATTGACCTGCAAAATTCGCAGCGGCGTCGAGAATTGAAGTAGCTTCGCCTGTGAGCATCACGGACGAAAAGATATCTCGTTTCGTAAATATTCTAATTTATGACTTTGATAATACATAATTTTTCGCAATGTCAGCCGGCGTTGCACAGGCAATCCATTATTTTTGGACTTTTGCTTCTCATTTATCTTATATTTATCTGAGCATTCATATCTACATAAATATGGAATATGGGGCGTGATTTAGAGAATGGAAATAATCTCATGCTTTCCAGTTCGGAGAAAGCATAGGCTCCATAATCATATGTGGGTTGCTTAGAAAGGAGACTTAGTGTTTATTTCGATACGCGATATCATTATTGCTTAAGAAAGTATGTCTCCTAAATTCTATCTCATTTAACATCGTGTTTTTATTCATTTTGACAGTATGCATATATACAAGAAATATTATTGCCTTTTCTCTCGATTCGCGAAATAGAAAAAAATTTGATCAGAAACTTTCTCTATTCTTTAACTTTATTTATATGTAGAAATTTTATTATAATATAAATCATATCTGTAATTATATGAAGAAATATTTTAATCTTTTTTTCATCATCAAAATATTTTCTAAATAATTTCGCAATTGAAAGTAAAAAATGTCCCAGAATTCTCAATATTGTTTATTTATTTATGATAATGGCGGATGAATAAATATAAAATTGAAATGGAGATGACGATTTGCATGATTGGCAGCACGTTGTCGATAGTCGATGTAACGAAGATATCTCTCAAGTTAATATTCTTTATATACTAATTGGACTGAAGCCTCCACTGACATTCTATAAGCGGATTAATTACACAAGGAAGGAAGCCATATTCAGTAAGCTGACGCAGTAGTAGAATCGTGCAAGTTTTGCGCAAATATCTGAATTCAGCATGCACCGCATTGAAGTTACAAATTTCTAATGAATTATTTGAAACTAAGTTGCTCTGTTGATTTTATTGTGCTGAATAGCAATATAGTTTCCCTGGTAAGGAAATCTCGAAAATCTATCGCAAATACATATTTTAGTAATAATTATGATGTTACTTATCAATTTTTAAAAAATATTCCATAATATTCCAGAATATTCACAAAAATCATAAATAATTTAAGAATGATCAAGTCGATCGATTCTAAATATAATGGAGAGATTGAAAAATAAACTTTAATCAATAATACGTGGCAAACTTTCGAGACTTCCCCGTTTAGGTAAGCTTTTTTCGTTGAATTAATTTACGAGGCGCTATAGTTTTGTTCATCAGGGGGCGGTGACCCCGGAGATAGCGCCGTAGATACAGCTTTCGCGAGGAAGAAGAAGAGCAAGAAAACGAAAAAAAGAAATGAAAGAAGGCCCCGGACTGTGTTCGCCAAGCAACAGCTGGCCCCTCACATCTCTCGCCGTCACTTCTCTTCGCATACAGGGTGCCGAGAGTTGTTACCAACCGATTTATCAAAACCGGTCTGTCTTCCCTTCTCGTCTTCCTTTTTCCCTGCCGTCGCCGCGCCAAGACCGGTCGAATAGCCCATTTTCCTTTCGTTGTTTCCATGCTTCTCTCTTTTCCTCTCGAACGCTCTCGAACATTTCTCTCTCTTTACCGTTTTATTTGTGCCGCGCTAATGTCTTTGTTACGTTTATCGCATCGAGTCTACTGATAGAGTCAAATAGAACGAGATTTTTTTTTTTTACAACGTAACTGAATAGATACGTATTATTTTGAATATAAGGCACTGTGAGAAATTTCGTAAGTGTGCATCAGCAGTTTATCTGCATTTTTTTTTTAATATTCGCAAGTTTATAATTTATTCGAAATTCACAAACTTATACATATTTATATATCGCTTTTATTTATGTTTTTAAAATGTGCAGCCTTGTGTTATCGTAAACCTTATTTATAAAATTTTTAAAAATTTGTTACTATAATGATACTAAAAAAATGATAATATATCGATAGAACAGAAGCAAATAAACTTTAATGTACTATAGCAATTACACCATGTTGTATTATAAATGATCTGAGAGCCGGAATTATAACTTCATTCATTTAGTTTGCTTATCTTTGCGAAATAAGACAAATGCGAAGAGAAGTTGGTCGTATCTGCGCATGCTGATCGTCTATGGAGCGTTTCACCAGCGTTATCGATTAAAATATGCTCGAAGCCGAGCTCTCTGCGGCGAACGTATTTATGTCCATGATTTCCGCCACTTTACAGATGCACATTTTCTCTCCAAATATCGTGACATTCTCTCGCTTTGCGACCGGCAAGGCTAAGGCGGGCGTTATAGCAAACGCAGAATTTTCTCCCTTCGGGTATATAAAACTTCTCGCTGGAAGAACTTCCTTGTTCGCGTCATATGCCGGTAGTTCAGACCAGTTCGAACCTTCTCGAATCAACGCGATTGTGGAGCTTCGCGAAGTGCGAAGCGGAGCTTCACGATATTGTACAAGAAACACGCAAAGGGAAACATAAAGTCTTAGTTCAAGACTTAGTTCAAGACCGAGTTTAGCACTTCCTCGAAAGTCGAGCACAGAGCGAAATCGCATTTGAGCAACTTGGGTCCTAGTATATAATTACTTTCATCTCTCAACAGTTTATTTAACATTATACATAGGGAAACAAACTAGATTTAGATAGATTACTTTAATATAGATTTACATGTATTTACTATATACGCATGCTAATTAATTGTATGCATGCTAGCTAATTAATTAATAGAATTAAGAGTATTTTTATATAAGAACCTATTTTATTTCTGCTAAAAATCTGACTCCAATTGAGAAGTGAAAAAGTAAGTAAAATCGCGGAAATATTAAAAGGATCACGGTCAACTTAACAATTGTTACTCAAACTTCCGGGATTAATTTTCGATCCGCCCGTTTCCCTGTTGCAGCTGCTTCTTATCGCGGCCCGGGCGAGGACGAGGACAAAAACTCGTACGCCGCACGAATCGCCTTTACCGGCAATTCCCGTATTCTAGGGCCGATCTGCATAGTTGTGGGCGCTCTTATGCTCGCGCTCGGCGTACTACTTTGCATGCTGACGAGACGAGCCAGGCGGAGGGAGCGCAGAGTGGGCTTCCACTGTCCACTTCACGGGGACTTCTATCCTCTGAGTCCAGTCCAAGGTATCAAGATGCTCGGTGAGTCGATCCTAAATGTCCGTTAAAAGCAATTTGATGTAGATAGAGATGTTGAGATAAGAAAAAAAATCTACGTTTATACATGCTCAATTTTTGTTTATTAAGTTGATTAATCGAAATTGATTAAGAGAAAATAGACTTTGTATTGTTTTTTTTTAAATTTTATTTTATTTAATTCATTGGTCCTGATTTATTATTATCTGCCAGTCATAATTAAGATTTTTCAATTTACTTGCGTTTACATTTTTTTCTTTATTGGCGTCTATTTAATTACGCATTTTATTCAGTTTTTATGACAATAATTTTTAAAGAATTCTGATAAAAGGAAACTCTTTCATTGTTTGCCTTCATTATCACCGCAAATACATGACACGCTTCTGAAAGTAAAGTGTGTAAGCTATTCAGTGTAAACACACTGTCGCGTGAGCTACCGAAATTCGTTTCGCATTTTTTCAGAGTTGTCTCATGATCGTTAGACGTGTATAATTATCTCTCGACCGTACGAGAATAAAGGCGCTAGTAATTTCGATGATACCTTTTTGAAAAGCGGAATAGCTGTTAAAATGCTTCCCAAGAAAAGATCTCGATACTGCTTTCTACCATTCGCCAATCATTACCGTCGTGTCACGCAATGCCATTATTCCTTTTATGAACGTTCTGTCAAAATTACAGCTAAATGGTACAATCAGCGCTCTGCGCAAAAAATTCGCGTCGCCAGGTTAAATTACATCTGTAATAAGTTAATGTTTCGAATGTGCGACTAATTAACTGTCATTCGCCTTATTTAATTTTATCTTCGTCGTTCTTGACGATTATTCTAACTTTGTTTCACACTTCACTTAAATCTTTGTGAGACGCCGATAAGACGTGTAATACCGTCAACCGCGTCGATATATCGCCGATAATTGATTTAGCCGATCGTGACAAATTTACGAGAGATACCTCGCTATTTTACGACTTTGTCGTGCGTTACCGTCTTAGGAAACCTATCGGCCTGTGTTATTTTATCGTCGCGGAACGTGCCAGTTCGTGCCAATTGCTTCGAATTCAGGACGAGGCTGGATCAGGCAGGGCGAGGAGGAGGGTAGCTAACTGGATTGTCGGAATTCAGGCTAATACGACTCTATCAGATCATTGCGTGGGTCGATCGCGCGCGCGCGCGCGCCTCGCGGATGCTACAAGTTTCCGCGTTCGACCGCCGACTGATCGAGAGATCGCCTCGAGAGATCGCGCGATAACAAATCCCGGAGATAGAGGCTCTCCTCCCCCCTCCCCTCCCCATTTTACATTCAAGTCTTAGGCTTGGAAGAATCGCGATAGGACTTTGAAGGCTAATGAAAATTATCGGGGCAGTTCTCCACTCCGAGAAATGTATACGGGCTAAAGTTGGGATATCACGGATAGATCAAGATGTTCAAGATCACCGAGGTGTACGAAAAAAAAAAAAAAAACGAAGGATTCTCGACGGCTATATTAAAGCACGTACGCAAATCGTTACCTTTGCGATCGATGGACATTGCGAATTCTGAGGCCTAAAATTTCTCAAGTCTCGGGAGCATCGCCGCGTGAAAAATTCAAGACACTCCGGAAATTTAGAACTCGCCGTCTAAGTCACACGGTCTTGACACGAGAGGCACGAATTTCTGAGAGAAATGTTGCTGCAACGCTCGCGTGTGACAGTTGCTGCTGCGAGCGAGAAACTCGGCGGTGCAGCGGCAATAAAAATTGCAAGGCATCCAGTCTCTTCGCGTACATATCTTTGGCTAGACATGAACTAACCTGATGTCTCGCATTTTAACTTTAAAATAGAATTGCTGTACGTACTTTCTGCTTTCACATAGTCTTCATTTTGCGTTGTAATAGGAAAATATTGAGAATAGTAAAGTACCTATGTTTATTCGGGAAACATCGCGAACATAAAGCACCTATGTTTATGTTCGGATTAACAAAATCATTACATATAAATATGTAACACGTACGAGTCTCGTTTTTGAAAGGCAAATGCATATTTTCTTTTATTATAAATAAACGAGTATATCAATTTTGTAAACAGTGCAAGATAATATTTCCGTTCGTGTGTGATCAGTTCGCGTTTCCATTAATCCTTTCCTACGTACGTTCCTACTTTAACTTCAAGGTGGTTTTCTCAATCGTTTCTGCACAACGATTTATCCGGGTCGCAAAGCTCGGAACTCGATTGCTCAGTCGCAATTTCTTTTGCGGCGTAGCACGCAATAAAATCTTATTAGAGCCGAAGGTCATTTTTGCGTACCCCCTTGTGCGAGAACGTTCCGTCGTAGCGTGATTCATACCGTGGCTCGCTATAATTTTTTAACCTGACGCCGATGCGAAATCTAGAAAACGTTATCCCAAAGCGATATCACAAAACAAACCGTCTGTTGCGCGGAGATTCTTTATTCCCATTGACATGCCGTTTATCACGATAAAATATGAATGACACAAAATGTATAGGGCGGGGGCAAACGCGACGATTATTTCGATGAATTTTGATCGCCTTTTTTTTCACATTGTGAAAAATGAAAGTCGCTAAATGAAATATATCGTTAGCGGTACATCGGTAAGATATCACTGAAATTGAATACGCATACTCGATTGAGGTGAAAAATAGCGATATCCGCTGCTAATAATATCCAAATTTCATGAAATATCGTCGATGTTGATGCGGATGATGAGGTTGATTACATTAAAGAAATAAAGTTGCCATTGATGAGATTACAAGCATCGGCCTTCGCACGTTTTACACAGCATGCGGTCATGTAACTCTTTCAGTATCGAGTATGTTCTTTATTACGGAGATTTTATTTATTTCTTTCTTTCTGCTCTGAAAAATACCATCCGCTCGTTCCTAAAATTACGAGTTTTGTTGTACTTCGGAGATTTTAGATTTTCCACGAAGAATTATCCGAATCTTTCCTTTCTTCAATATTTCTTGTTTTTTTTTAAACGCATAATTGCTTAATTATGTGAAAGACATAATTACGTTGCACGAGTAAATATAATATTCGAAGAGAATTCTAGCGTTAACGGCATCGTTAACAGCATATAGGGGAAAGAAAGAAATATTGATTTCACGCATCGAGGATCGATCGTTTCTCAGTCGCACAGAAGCCAGAAGAGAAAAAAAAAAACTCTTTGCATTCAGGGTTGAACGCGAGGTGCGTGCAATTGCTTTCAGTCCCTCAGTTCCATTTAATTTCAGCCCGGTAGTATTTCGCTACTCTTTTTCCTCCTCTTTGTTCCTCGATTCAATCGCTTTTCTTTTTATGCGTTTCACATAATCCGGAGCATTGCGTTATACGCGTCTGCAGACATCCCAGCGCCAAAGAAACGTAATCTATTCTATCAAGAACGAATTCTCGTCTCCTATTTTCTCTTTAATAGCGCTCGGATGTATCCTTTATGCATTCCTTCGAGACCGATCATCTTTCAGAAATCTTATACTGATAGCGATCGCGATGTTCTCGTTCGAGGCCAGGCATAGACGTTCTTTCTGATTTTACGTAATATGTTGTTTTATGAAAAAATAAAATTTCTAAAATGTTCAAGAAAAATTATACATATATGACAAATGTTAACGGAATTGATGATAAATATTAAACGGAAATGTTTCAAAATGTTTCAAAATTATTTGATAAACTTCTTGGTGAACTTCTTATATGAAATTATTTCATTCAGTATTAACAAGTTCTTGTCAATGAGTTTCTTATGATTTCATCAAATAGAAGAGACAGCGGAACAAGATAATATTTTTATTGAACTTTTAAATACAGTAAATGCTGGTTTAAAAATAAAAATTTACGAGGAAAGATAACAGTTGTTTCATCTTTTTTTAAAGAATGGAAACTTACTCCGTATATATAACTCCGAAAAAATAATAGTCGACTCTCTGTTCAATTTTTTTTTTTTCTTTAATAGTTATTGTTGAAGAATTATTCTCTCTCCGTGCCAATTCTGCGTTGAGTACCGTTCTCAGATCTGAATTATGCGGCTGGTACTTCTCTCTCAAACAAGCACGCTTGCGCGTGCTTTGTTTGAAGAGTAACATGAAATATTGCTTTTAGAGCGACTATCGTAATCTCAAGCACGATGACCACTCGTCGACCGCGAGAACAGAAATGTCGTTCTCCACGGTGGCATACAATAATAACAACCGCCACTGACAACCTCCCGCTTTACGACGAGAGACGACGAAATTACATCTGGCTCCGCGAAGCGTGGCTAAATACAGCTTGTCTCGCGGAAGAGGCGTCGCGCAAAAACGCGAGTAAGGGTCTTACTTGGCGATAGAGGCAATTAGGACGATGGCGATGGAAAGCGTAACCGGCGACGCGCTTTTAAAATTTCTGGTTACGAATACAGACGGTAATTCGAACGCAACGATGAGAAATCGTAAGGGAAACGGAAGAGCATAAAAGTGAACTAATAACCAGTATTCGAATTCAAACAGCGAAGAATGAATTTTGAAAAAGATGAAATTTTTTTTTAGATATACGAAAAAATATCGAAAACGTATATTTAACTACGTATATTTAACTCTCGTTATTGAAATAAAGATGAAGTAAATTTTTTATTATAGCGTGATTGTTGGAGAATAAAATAATATATTTTATTAAAATCATTTTTTAAAGAAACTCGAGGTCTCCTCGTTGTCTCTCGGAGGAAAAGTAAATTACAAAATTGTTGAGAAAATATTCATCGTTGAAATTAAGATCGGGGAGATTCTGATATACGTTGCGTATATTTCAAGCAGGCTCACAAGTTTGCTATCTTTCGCACGTTAACACGGATATCTCCCGCGAGCGTTCACGCTTCGACAAATTCATCTCGGCGTTGTCGGGAACTCTCTGCAAATTCGCGATCTCCGCGCAACGTAAGCGGAGTATGACTCGGCGATAAGTTCGTAACGCAATTTTCCTGCGCGAGAGCGTCTCCGGCGGTGCGTGAAACTCTGCCTCCGAGAGGACAGGACGAAAGGAAGA